GACTGCCGAAGCCGAATTTGGCCCCACGCCACACAGAAAAGCGACAACAACGTTGCTTTCATCTCACACTCTCTTTGGTGCGGACGAAGTCAGTATCGAAATAATAATATTATACCTGTCCACTTGCATGCGGTGAAGGCGGCGAACGTGTTAGGAATCATATTGTGACGTCTTCTACAAGACAAGCAGTTGCAAAAGGTAAGCGTACTGAAAGCCTCGCTTTCTTCCCTCAAGAATAAAACAAGTGGCTCGATTTAAGGACTGAAATTTAATACAGCAGCGTTTGCGGGTGTTAGCACGTCCAACGCCAGAGAAAGAGGCTGAGCGAAGTTCTATTTTTGGTCTGCAGAACTGCTACTTTAGGACCAGCAGTCTCCGATCAGCAGCAGTCAGTGAGTGCGTTCGATTATGCACGCGAATCGATTCGCGAATCGATTCATGAATCGATTCGCGCTATTCACATCACCCCTTATGAATAGAGTGAATCGATTCCGAATCGATTCTAGGGCTCGTGACATGAAAATCGAACGACTTGAATGCATGCGAGTGGATTCATGAATCGATTCAAGTGTGTAATCGAACGCACTCACTGGATGTAGTTATGGTCGTGACCAGGGAGTCGTAAAATACCGGTATTTTACGACTCCCTGGTCGTGACAGTCAACAAGCGAACGCGGACATGTTCTAACATTATCCGCCCATAGCAGCAAAAAAACGGTATTCTGTAAAATTTAATGCTATTAGCGCAAGGGAAAATACCGAGATAGGTGTTCGACCGTTTAGCAAAATGCACGCTATTTTTAGTATGCTGTTGCCACGAGAATAGCTTTTGTTTCACGCGGAACAACCATTTGTGGCGATGCACGATTTGTGGCGATACACCGGTGAAATGGGTACACACTACGCAGTATTCGGCCAAACGATGCACGGTTTGTCACAACGATAAATCAGCGCCCATACCGGTTTTACACTGCAGCTTCAACGCTATATGGGTGATCAAGGTATGAGAACCGTGAAAATAAAATAAAAAAGCGTTACCGCTGTTTGCTAATAGACACCCTTAGCAAAACACGTTATGTTGTAACGGTATTACCGTAAGGGGGGAAATACCGTGATTTGGGCACGACCTTTAGCAAGATGCACGCTATTTTTAGTACGCTGTTGCCTCGAGAATAGCATTTACTTCGCGCGGTACAACCATTTATGTCACCATATACGCGATACAAGGTGAAATGCGTACGGACTATGCAATATTTGGCCAAAAAACGTACCGTTGGTCACAACGATAAATCAGCCCCCATAACGTTTATACGCTGCAGCTTCAACGCTATTTGGGTGATCAAGGTATGAGTACCGTAAAAAAATAGCGTTACCGTTGTTTGCTAAGGGTATCTAATGGCCCATTCACACTACGCCCAAAACGTGGCGTACGTGACGTTTTCGTCCGGATAGCCATGACAACATGGAACTTGGCGGGAAAACCGTACCTCTGCTACGAAAACGTAGACGACGTATCCAGACCCCTCTGTACTGCTGCACCGAGTTTTGTTCTGTCGCTCCCGGCAGTTTGTGTCCAAAAGAAGCCGTATGCACAGCTCTATGAAAAGCGTGCACGTGCCTGCGTGAATGTACCTGCATGAAAACGACATCTGCCAGTACGTCGTATTCCAAAACGTGACGCGTATTGTAGCGTAGTATGAATAGCCTATAAGGGTTTCTGATAGGTGGTAACCGTGCGGGCGAACTCGGTACACGGAACCTTTTCAGTCCTTGGAGAAGTTGAGGAGAACAACAACAACAACAACAACAAATCTGCTCACTGCTGATTAACTCAATCTGCTCCTGCAGCGCTCACCCTCTCCCATACTTGTAAAGTTCAAAGTGATGTAAATCACTTTCCAACTGTTTAACCCACAATCTCACCTTCTCATCAATTTATCTCTTATTGGCGATGGTGCCATCGTGAGAATAAAGAATTCAAAAAAAAATTCAAAAAAACTCTGTATAATGACCACCCCTGCCCGTACACTTTAAAAGTATTCATTAACCCCTAGGCGCTGCCCACCCAATTCTTCCTCACTCTTTCTCCTTTCTTACACTATTATCTCTTATTGGCCACTGGCTATCGTGAGAATAGAGATTTGAAACACAAAAGGACAAAGAGGACAGCAAAGTGCTTAGTCTTCGCCGTATCCTTAGCTTTGTAAGGAAACGCATCTCGATGCAAGGATGAGGCAATCTAGTGTGGTTTGCCCGACCATGACGTGGCACTGTTAACTAGAGACTCTGCGCTTCAGTTTGGCAATTCGCTACAAGCGATCTGGCATGTGGTTTGGTGGTTGGCGGGGATGGGGAAGGCATCTAGATATCCAGGGAATATTCTCCGATTGGAAAAGTTAAGAACATTTTGGTGCTCGGATGTTTAGGTATGAAGCCAGGTTAAGATCAGGTTAGGTGAACGGGACTTTTTGGATACAGAGAAGCATATTTGGATAACGCGTGTCAGTGTTTGTTTGGCTATTGAAATTCCATGTATATGAAAAAGGATGCACCACAAGTGCCGAAACAAGAAATAGAGTAAACCCTGTAACTAAAGACCACTGTGACTAGCGACCAGCCTGGTACTACAGACCACTGTGACTAGCGACCAGCCTGGTTACTACAGACCACCGTGACTAGCGACCAGCCTGGTACTACAGACCACTTCGCCAGGCACGGACTTTCTCACATTCGTATACGGTTGTGCAGTGCAAACCTCTAACTAAGGACCACCTGTCACTAAAGACTGCTTTCTCTGGCCCCAAGGGGTGGTCGTTAGTCACAGGTTTTACGGTGCATCGGAAATTTGGGAACTTCCATCTGTACCTGTATGTAAAATAACAACGGAGAAGGAATGTAGCCTGCACATAGAAGGAAATGGGAAAAGGTGCGAGTATGAGGAAACCTGCCGAATGGGAAGTGTGATGCGACAAAACGGACAACAAACGGACATAACTAACGATTTCTTGACGACCTACATAACAGCCTAAGTGTGAATTTAATCTGATTCTGCTTATGTCGGTCGCCAAGCGTATCTCTCTTTTGAGAGGTATTGTGTGGTCAGTCCAGAATTCTGTCTGTAGGAATTCCTTTTAACTAGCAGCAGTGCAGGTGTGTGTGTGGGGGGGGGGGGGGTAGTGGCACCAGTGAGTTTCCCCGACCACTGGTCTCGGTTTCCTAGCCGTACTGCTAGCACCGAACGATGATAACTCATCAATTTACTTACAAGTTTGCGATGTAGAGCAGGGAGTCGATAAATTATGACCTTTGCAAGTCCTTTTCGGTACACATGTGAGAGCGCATGTACATCACAGTAGTGTTGGGCGCCGAAGAACGGCCAGGGCTAGAATTTTACCAATTTTTAAGAACGGCCAGGCTAGAATTTTACCAATTTTTAAGAACGGCCAGGCTAGAATTTTACCAATTTTTAAGAACGGCCAGGGCTAGAATTTTACCAATTTTTAAGAACGGCCAGGCTAGAATTTTACCAATTTTTAAGAACGGCCAGGGCTAGAATTTTACCAATTTTTAAGAACGGCCAGGCTAGAATTTTACCAATTTTTAAGAACGGCCAGGGCTAGAATTTTACCAATTTTTAAGAACGGCCAGGCTAGAATTTTACCAATTTTTAAGAACGGCCAGGGCTAGAATTTTACCAATTTTTAAGAACGGCCAGGCTAGAATTTTACCAATTTTTAAGAACGGCCAGGCTAGAATTTTACCAATTTTTAAGAACGGCCAGGCTAGAATTTTACCAATTTTTAAGAACGGCCAGGGCTAGAATTTTACCAATTTTTAAGAACGGCCAGGCTAGAATTTTACCAATTTTTAAGAACGGCCAGGGCTAGAATTTTACCAATTTTTAAGAACGGCCAGGCTAGAATTTTACCAATTTTTAAGAACGGCCAGGGCTAGAATTTTACCAATTTTTAAGAACGGCCAGGCTAGAATTTTACCAATTTTTAAGAACGGCCAGGGCTAGAATTTTACCAATTTTTAAGAACGGCCAGGCTAGAATTTTACCAATTTTTTAAGAACGGCCAGGCTAGAATTTTACCAATTTTTAAGAACGGCCAGGGCTAGAATTTTACCAATTTTTAAGAACGGCCAGGCTAGAATTTTACCAATTTTTTAAGAACGGCCAGGCTAGAATTTCACCAATTTTTAAGAACGGCCAGGCTAGAATTTTACCAATTTTTTAAGAACGGCCAGGCTAGAATTTCACCAATTTTTAAGAACGGCCAGAGCTAGAATTTTACCAATTTTTAAGAACGGCCAGGCTAGAATTTTACCAATTTTTAACAACGGCCAGGCTAGAATTTCACCAATTTTTAAGAACGGCCAGGCTAGAATTTCACCAATTTCTAACAACGGTGCAGGTTGAATTTTCTGCAGATAAGAACGGAAACCGCAATGTACACTATAATGTACACTCAGGGGTATAAATAAATTAATAAATTTCACGGTTCGCGTGAGACTCGGCTGGAAGCTGAGTTTTCGCATCCGCAGGAACGCCACCACCCTCTAGGATCAAGGCGCAGATGCAGAGCCTAAACAGTGGGCATAAATGTACATGTAAGACTGTGCCATCGAATAAGAACGGAACTGCTGTGTTCGCTAAAAATAAGAATGGGCTAGGCTAGAACCCTGACCCCCAGTTCTTCGGCGCCCGACAGTACTGTACTCTGGTGATCCTTGTCGGCATAGCGATGGCTGTTGGCATAGCGACGGCTGTCGGCATAGCGATGGTTGTTGGCTTAGCCATGCTCGACGGTATAGCATTTCTCTCCGAATAATCACAACTTTCATGCGTGTGTGTGCGTATGTGTGTGTGTGTGTGTGTGTGTGTGTGTGTGTGTGTGTGTGTGTGTGTGTGTGTGTGTGTGTGTGTGTGCGTATGTGTGTGTGTGTGTGTGTGTGTGTGCGCGTGCGCGTGCGTGTGTGTGGTTTTCAGCAGGTTTGGCAAGACATCGCAATGGCTTTCTCTGCCCACCTGGCTTTCGGTGCAGCCCTGGCCCTATTCTGCATGGCAGCGTGTCGTGCTCAAGAACTTCCAAAGCATTTTGAACAGAGTAAGAGCGGTAGGCTAGTGCACGGCAGGCAGGGCTTTGTGTCCTGTTAGTGCCCGAGGGCCATCAGGCCCACACATGGATGGTCCTAGTCATTCGTCTTGAGGTGCCATGCAGGCGTGCCGGAACCGGTCCGGTTGGTCAGGTTATTACCGGACCGACTTTTCGGTCACCAACACACGTTATTATTATAGATTTGAGGATTTCCCGAAGACATAGTCTTGACTGAAGGGAGTTCCGTTATAATGGGAGACTGTAGGGTGGAGATGGCAAAGAGTGGATGGTCGTGTTTCCTGCTGTGGAGGCCCAGGGCATGCGTACCCGCCGCGTGTACCCGCCGTGTGTACCCGCCGTGTGTACCCGCCGTGTGTGCATGTACCTTACACACAGCATGAACGGCCTCGACACTACCGGACAATAAAAAAACTGCCTCCGCCGATCCTGACCATGCACCAACTATACCGTATTGCTACTCCCTACTCTGTGTGCGCGCCCCCTGTTAAAAGTGCCCCCTACTCTTTTCCCGATTTTTGTTTTTTTCATGCCATTCAACGAAAATGCAGTCGATAGTCAGTCCTAGAGGGTTCATAAAGGCACATTTGTCCGAGGCGAAGTCAGGTGTTCGCCCCGTACGTTGCATTTTGCATAAGACAGTTATTTCGAAACTGGAAAATGGTCCACGGGTAGCTGTTTTCCCTGCCCCCCCCACCCCCACCCCCTGCTAGTTTGACCTGGCTAGAACCCTGAATTACCAACTCTTGACGTGCGGCGGTACCCGATACCTGGGCACCATGGATCTCCTTGGCGCAAGAAATCGCGCCGCGCCGCACGGATGTGAATTAACCTGATCTTCCTTCATCTAAAACCAGCAAGATTCCCGAGTCGGGAAGAACGGTTGAACACTGTACACCCAGCAAACTAACTACTACAGTCCGTTTCAAAAATATAGACACATGGCATTTTTGAAATATTTCAAATTTGGCTGGAGCTTTTCGAGAATTTTTTTTCGGAATATTGCTCAGGGGTCCTTCCCCGATTACTCTCATAACAATTTTTTTAAGCGATCAGATAGCAAACACCCAATTTCCAAGCTTTTATGCACAAAGTGATCACAGATTTTATGTGGTTTTGATGCTGGCCTAACGGTTTTTCTGAAATCATGCGTCTATATTTTTGAAACGAACTGTAGCAGGCTTTTTCAGTCCTCTTGCCCAATTGTACTCCCCACAGGGAGTGTACAGAGATAGGTGGAGGGAGAGGAGACAGAGACACACACATACAGAGAAAGAAAGAGAGAGAGAGAGAGAGAGAGAGAGAGAGAGAGGGGGGGGGGGGAGAGAGAGAGAGGGGGGGGAGGGAGAGAGAGAGAGAGAGAGAGAGAGAGAGAGAGAGAGGGAGAGAGAGAGAGAGAGACGTACGTACGGACGGACGGACACAAACACATAAGGACAGAGGCAGACAGACCTGAAAGACAGACAGACAGGGAGGCAGTGAGAAAACACATTAACACAAGGACAGACAGAGAGGGATAGCAGGTATACTACATCCTACACTGTAAATCAACCAATATTCGGCGCATGTCTTTTCCGCCTATATTCGGCCTGGTCATATTTGGCCGAAAATCTGCTCTGGCCGAAATTTTGTTCTGCAAGGTTCATAGTGACAGTGTCTACATGCAGCAGCAGCAGAACACTATTGTAGCCGAGGCTCAGTTGGTTAGAGCATTGCTCGCGAATAGCAAGGTTCCTGGTTCGAGTCCCGGTGGTGTGACTGAGGATTTTTTTCTTTTGTTTTTTTTTTAGGGCTGAAACGATCGTGGATTTTCACCTATCGATTACTCTTTAGCTTAACGATCGAGTAATCGATTATAACCGTTACCAAATAGTGTCTGAATTCTGTGCAAAATTACTGTGTTTCCACAAGCTATGCCTTCATAGTACCAAAAAATCTGCATTAGTGAAAGGGTAGCTCCGAAACATGGCAGTTTGAAGTCAATTAAACCTCAGAACATGCACCATACCCCTGGCAACTGCACACTCACAGCGGAAATTGATTCAAACTTCACAAAAACGGGGTTTTCAGTACTTTTTGGACTCAAAATCCCTCAACGAGTAATCTATAACGTAAGGGGCCGTCCAAGGTTACCAATAATATTTTCAAAACGAAATGTTTTCGTTTGTGGGTGGGTGGGGTTGATGGAGTTTCGTTTTGAAAATAACTATTGAATGCTGATGGAGAATGCCCAGTTTCTTCTGGGTGTCGAAAATTGACATCAATGTTGTATTGGAATTCGTTTTACCTGCAGAAAAGGTGGGTGGGTGGGTGGGGGCTGAAAATACTAAAACTTTTCGTTTTGTAAAAACAATCGGTAACCCCGGACGGCCCCTAACGATTACTTGATTGCTAAGGAATTATTGATCGATTACCGAGTAATTGGTATAATCGTTTCAGCCCTAGTTTTTTTCTTTCTTTCGTATCTGGCTTGCAAGTGTTGAGTTTTCGGAGAGAAAAGAGCAGTAAGAAGGCATGTGGCCTCTAATTATCCTAATACTGAAATTCTCCGTGAAGTCCGAATTTGAAATAGCAGCAGAACAGACCAAACATTAATTTTATTGCAGCCGAAATGTGTTTTAGCCCTGGGAGGCCGAAATGCAAGTCTACACATTTTCGGCCAATTCAGACATATTCTGTCAATGAGGGCAGCTCTGCTGCTGCCCTTTCTCGCTCTTGCAACTTGTGATTTACTCTCTGAACATTGTCTTTACTACTGTGTAAGTACAAATTTTCGTTCACGAAATCTTTCGTTATTTCACTCCACCAGCAGGCTTGTTACGAACTAAATTTCGTTTTTGGTCGAGGTCTGTCACCCCAAACGTTCAGAAAGAAAACTTTAGTTTGGTGCAAACTTTAGTTATTTCGTGCCCCCTAACGCGAATGTAGCGAAAGTCAATTTCCAAAAGAAAAATTGTACTTTTCTCTGTTTTGTTTTTCTTTCCTTGACGTGCTGGCAGATGACATCGTGTGTGGAGTGGGCGTGATCAGGCCATTGCTTGATACACCAAAGCAAACGTTTGAAGAAGCCAGAAAACTCTGCACATATGAGCATGGCTACCTGCTCGCAGTTCACCACTCGATCTGCTTTCAACCCTTGCTAAAGAAATCCAATGCAACGTACGCGTTTTGGACCGCGATCCCTCATGGGAACCGTGTGTATCTGACGAATGGACAGACTGCTGCCACCACAGGCAGCCGCTCATTGCACCGTGTGGCATGTTTCATTGAGAAAGGTATGCCGCGCTGTGCTCGCTTTCAAGCGAAGTATTCCGTGTGTCCGCTGTGACCATTATGTTAGCCCACAATATGCATGGCATCGTGTTCTGTCGGAACCTTTTTTTTTATTAACGAACCTCTTCGCCAACGAATGTTGTTGTTGTTTCAAATCTTCATTCTCGCGATAGCCAGTGGCCAATAAGAGACAAGAAGTGTGACACAGGAGAAATAGTGATGAAGAATGGGATGGGTAGGGATTATTGATTACTTAAGTGTACGGGCAGGGGTGGTCATTACACGAGCATACAGAGTTGTGGAACAGCAGGGACATCTTGGATTTTAAGAGAGTACAAGAAGGGATTTCGCGAAGCTGGGTGGGCAAGCAATTAAAGTAATGAAGGGCCTTGTACAGGGGAGAATGGAGACAGCGATCAGTCCTCGGAATTGGGAAGTGCCAAGTACGAGAGCGACTAAAATTATACGCGGGTTGCACGTTGCGAGGAGTATGCAGCAGCGAGAGTATATGTGGTGGGGCATAACCAGTCCTGGAAATCGCCTAGTTAGGACAATGTGTATGTACGGGTCCCACGTGATGAAAACATTACGTCAGAAGGAGAAGTATAACGCCAAGGCGGAGCTGGACCCTGCCTCACAGCACGCGGTGGTCATAACAAAAGGGAAAATGAACTTTTTTTCAAAAAATCTCCGTTCCTTTCCTTTCGTCCAGCATTTGTTTTACTTCCGTTTTTGATTGTACAATGTCACTCAACTCCTCATCCCCGTCGACTCGTAAGAGAAAGATAACTGGCTATCGCCGACAAAGTCAAGCGCCTGAGCTGCCTCAGCAAACGTAAAAATGGCTTGATTCGAGCGGTAAGTATCCTCTATCCTCTACCTTGTACATTGCTGACTTTCACCTGATAAGTTTCTTGTGTTTGCATCTTTGTGTTGACGCAGGGCATGGAGCTTCATGAAGCTGCACACGCCAAGGTGCTAGTTCTGGTGATATCTCCATCAGGTGTTGAGCACCTTTATAGCAGCAGTCCGGTAGACGACTTCTTTCCAGCAATTAAGAAATCGAATTCCCGACCTCCTGCCCCTACAACTCCCACACCACCAACTCCCACCTCACCAACTCCCACCTTATCATGCACTAAGCCTAGCTTTACTCCAGTCGCATGCATAGCACGCCCAAACTCTTACCAGTGAAAATTGATTCACCATCATGTACAAATATTATTACGAGTTGATTCACCATGTATATTCTGATTTTGTTCTAGAATGTGGCATGTGAGAATACCATAATTATGCCATATCGTCAAAGGCACACATTTGGAGTTGAAACGAGGGATTCTTAGTAAAAAAAACATAGTTTATCATTGTTGATGAAGATAATAAACGAAGGTGCTCAAAATTTATGACAAAATCACCGGCAGTGGGGGCACAATCACTTGCACACGACACAACATAGCCGCGTAGCAGCTCATCCATGCATCCATCTGTGAAGCGACTAAGTTCATCATAAGTGCGGTGGTGGTCCTTGGCCTTGTGGGCCCAGTCCAGCTGATGCGGCGAAGAAGAAGTGTAGCCTTGACTGAAACAAAACTCTTTGTACACAAAAGGCCAAAGAGTCTTGACAATGGCCTAGATTAAGTTCATCTCCCAGTGAAGGCCTCCACTTTGCGACACAACCCAGTCGAACTCACCTGCAGGGATGCTACCCGGCACATTCAAACCCCCACTCGCTACCCTGCCCTGTACATGAGTGCTTACACGGCTACGCAATGATGCTAGGCTGCCAGACACATTCAAAGAGTGCTTCCTACAGTAGCCCACCAACGACTCCTTGCTCATGCTACCTACATCTAAAATGCCCGCGGCATGGTACGCTGCTTTCCTGGCCTCATCTCTACTTTGAGCAATGGTGGTACGCATCAGCGAATATGGAAGGCCATCACAGACAATGGTAAGCCACTCTCTACAGCCCTGCTCACCAACACATTGTTTCACACCTGCACTTGTCCCAATTTCCCTCAGGAGAACACGCACTGCCTCATGTGAATTGGGGTTCACAAAGACAGGCTCAAGCAATCCTACATTTGCCGGAGGGACAGGAGGAGAATCCAACTGCACTGAGCGTGTTGCCCTAACCCGCCCTACATTAACCCAGCCACTGTCTGCTACAAGTGCGATCCTGCACCCACTGTCGGGGAAGACGGAAGACGGAGAACTTCAGTCCGGGACACTCGAGAAGGACCGCTGCTTCTGCGATAGCAGCCCTGATGTTTGTGACTGCACACTCTGAATTGCTACATTTGGCGCATGCTACGTTTTGCTGCCCCTGCGGACGACTGCACTGAAAGTGGCGCCGTCATGCCACACACAAAAGCCTCTACTACGGGATTATAGGAGCGGGAAGTGATGCGCCCAGCGGGGATGCCCAGCAATGACTCCACTTTCCTACTCTCCTTTGAGTGGCTAATGGCGTCTAGAGTTTCCGCAAACAGAAACTTATTCTCTATCTTACATATCTCATTAACTACCTTTACCCTACCATGCTCTGTCGCAAGAAGCTCATCTAAAAATTCCCTTGACTTCAATAACCCCTCAACCTCCTTCTGCAACTTCTCCACTAAATCCCTTAGTTCCTCACAGTCCTCACACCCTACTCAGTGACTAATGCCTCACAGTCCCCACACCCTACAGGTTTGTTTTCTGGGAGTGGGCTAGGTGGGGCCGTGAGGTACCTCACTTGGAGATGGAACCTTGAGCGAGTCTGCGGACGTCCTTGGTGGTGCATACAGCTCGTGCTGGATGACTTCTGGCTTGCAGTCGGCCACAGCTCTGCACCCTCTGCAGATCGAGGAAACAGGACGTCGAGCAATACTGGAGAGGACGTTCAGCACAGCCCTTCTCGTTATCGTGTCCTTGGCGGACGAGGAAGGGCTTTCCCAATCCGAATGGAAAGGGTTAGGACAAGAGTAGTGTCCAGGAGTAACACTAACTCTACGCTTAGAGCGCCGCGTCTGGATACCACTCTTCTTCATTGCCTCAGCTCAATAAACTACGACAAACTGTGATAAATTCGTTCCAAGCGATCTATTTTCTTCACTTTTTGAAAAATCGGCACATGAAAGTGAATTTTTTTTCACTGGATATCTCAAGGAGTCTTATTACTCTCATCTCCGCATGCACAGAATCTCCGCAACTCAGCAGGTTTTTCCGCATTGGACATGCAAGGGAAAGAAATTTGCTGATTCACGGTGCTTACAAATCCATGTTCACTTTGTGCAGGAAAAAATATGACGCTTGCAGACGCGTACACACCGTACGTGATTTCCAAGGAAACCTCCGATGCCCTAACTAGGCGATTTCCCAGACCTGATAACTGTGGAGCAGAGAATGTGCAAAGAGGATTATGTTTAGCTTTAAAGAGTGAAAATAATGTTGGCCATTTGATGTGATGCAAAAGGTAGGAGTGTTGTACTTGGTCCGTGTCAGCGATATTGTCGCTTATCTTTCAGCTTTGGTATATATCGCCAATGCTCACTTGGCAGCCCATTTCATCCCAATTTTGGTTAGTAAGTTAGTTTACTAGTACCTGAAAGGTCTACCTAGATTTCGAGTGGATTTCGAGAGCGACGGGTGGGTGATTCTGATTGATACAGCACCGCATAAAAATAGATTTTCTTGTTACCCTGTGCAGGCAAGAGCATCGCAACCCACAAGAAAGTAATCGGCTACTCGGAATCAGCTTCATTTTGCTGAACGGCCGAGATTGCTCACCTCAGGGATCGCTCGTGAAGCTGAGATCGCAGTTCCCTCACCTCCAGCTCAACGCTCGTAGTATCCAGTGCATCGTGGACATTTGCAAGTATTGTATGCGTCGTCGTCGTTCAAAATAAAATCTTGCAAAGAACGGGTCTGATTTGAACCACACAGGCTGTCATGCTGCCCAAGCAAAGTCCTATAGAGAAGGCGACCGTCACGATTGACTTCTCTTTAGAAAATAGCCAGACAGCGGAGAGGAAGAGAGATGAGCTTGCAAAAGCAAGAGAGTCGATCCCGAGCAAAAAATATTTGTCACCAGCGCCAAGAGCAGCGACGAGGAGGACTGAAAAAAGTATGAACACTTTCTTGGACAATAAATTCCATATAGCTAGTTGTCATTCTATACCTTACCTTCCATAGTACCAAGTTGTATTACTTCAAGTGCACGCATTGATGTCCAAAGTCTAAGTTCAAATTGTCGAAAGATAAGCGACAATATTGCTGACGCGGACCAAGTAAGTGTGTGTAAAGGGGAAGGTGGAGACATATTCTGGCGGCATTCCGCTGGAGTCGTTCTAGCCTGTCAAAGGAAGTGTGTGACGAAGGTGTGAACGCATTGTTCATATTTGAGAAAATAGCGGTAGTATGTACGTCTGATAGATGTGAGATAGAGCATCATTGGTGAGTGTAGACCTTAGTCTAAAAAGAAAATTGAATGACTTGAGTGATTCGTTGACTATGTATAGTCAACTTGGCTAATAACGACTTCGGATATAACGACAATTCGCGAATAACGACAGAATTTCCATGCCCAGAGCAAAGTCCCATCCCACTGTAATACATATAATGAGACTTCGGGTATAACGACACTTCGCGAATAAGGACACCTTTCTGATGCCCCGCCGAGTGTCGTTATACCCGAAGTTGACTGTATTCAACATGCTTCGTCCAACAAAGGTCATGCTGATAGAATTGTCAGCACCGACGCTATCCACACAGTCAAGTAAAGGCAACTTTGTAACCGGAAGCTTTTCGCTCCCTTCTCATCATGGGTAAGTACAGGGAATAATGGACACAAAAAAAGGGAAGCGCAGCAATTTATAGAGCTAAGGGAAAAGCATCAAAACCTCACACTGCGAATATTGAGTATGGTATGTGGTACATGCAAGAGTACGCGTTGTCAGAGAGTGTGAGGATCTGCTTCCCTCTGTGTGAGAGTGCGCTTGTCTACTAGTTGCCGCGTGTGCGTAGGTGCTGCGGAGCATGCGCTGTGAGGACAAGGCTTGGGTGTGTGAGAGAGAGAGCAAGGCGTGGGTGTGAGAGATAGAGAGAGAGAGAGAGGGCAAGGCTTGGGTGTGAGAGAGAGAGGGCAAGGCTTGGGTGTGAGAGAGAGAGGGCAAGGCGTGGGTGTGTGAGAGAGAGAGAGAGAGAGAGAGAGAGAGGGCAAGGATTGGGTGTGTGTGTGTGAGAGAGAGAGAGAGAGAGAGAGAGAGAGAGAGTTGTGATTCCATTGTCCTGGTGGTTCTCTTCACGTGTATCGTACGCACTGGTCGCTCATTGGTCGATTTCGTCGGTCCGTTCGCTCCGTTTGCTGAGAGAGCGATGAGAGTGAAGTTAGTGAAGGCTGCCAGTGACGGCTGTCATTCTCATTTGTAATGCAAAGTTACTAATTCCACTTTCTGCCTTTGTCTTCTCCATCGTGTTTGTATTGCGCAGCTGAATTCATC